AAACTCAAGATTCGGGCCACATCCCGCTCCGTCCTCTTCTTGTCCCCAAATGATGTGTTGTGGTGCGGAGAGACTGTGGGGGAAGAATCCGTCTGGGAGCTGATTTGATGAAGATGGTGCAGTGAGGGAGAGGCTGGTGACGGTGCGGGAGCGGGCTGGAACCCGCGCACGGCACATGGTGACGCTGGTAATGGCCGCAGGTAGTGCTCTGGGCGTGCAAAACCCAGTCTGAAAGCTTTAGAGAAAGTCTCTCTGGTGTGTCTTCCATATTTGGTGAATCTGAATTCTCCTAGGCCGCTTTCAAGCTGTAACATCTGTTTTCTGGAAACCTCTGTTTGGAAGGAATGTAACTGATTCAGCAGCGGCTGGAAGGCTCACTTTGAGCTGTCATAGCAGGGCTGCAGCGGCACTACCCAACTGGGAAGGACTGTCCTCAGCATTTGTTTCCTCTTTTTTAAACAAATAAAGCATTCAACAAGTAACAGGAAGTCAGCTGCCCAAATGGAAGAATCTGCTCTCAGAAAGCCATGTTAAATCCTCAAGAGGACTTTTACTTTCCACATGGCTATGTATAAATGTAATTAACATAGGGGCAGAGGTGTCTTTGTAAAATGTATTGAGGGGTGTGTGTATGTATATATTGGTGTTGGAATTTGCAGTAAAACTTTTTTTTGAGGAAACAACAGCCACCTAAAAACAAAGCTAAAGAATGTAGTGAGGTTGGAGACAAATGTCCCCAGGGAAGGACCATTAGCGAATGCGTGAGTCAGAGTCTGGTTCGGACTTCTATATTAAGCCATTTGTTGTCTTAAGAATTACAGCTTGTGTATCAGGGAGATTAAATTATCCAAGTACCAAAATATAGTTGTAAATTTGAAGATGCTTCTGAAAGTCTGTCTGTCTCTCTCTCTCACACACACACACACACACAGACATACACACACACATATTTTGTACCCCTTAACGATATAATAACCATAGGATTCAGTTTAAAAAGATTTAGACCTATTTGTAGATAAATTCTAAGAAGATTTTATTTAACCCCTCATGTTGGTTTGGCATTTCTCCATACCATTGGTACAGATTTAACATTTGATACATTGTCAGTGTGTTGTATATACACAGACATTTTAAATTGTAATTGTTGCATATTTTTATATTGATTTATGTGTAGATTCAGTGGCAGGTTTTCCAGCTATAGCGATGATGTAAAACATTTCACATCCACTTGATTTAAGCTAGAAGACTGTGACTACTTAGAGAAGTGGTAGTTGCTGGTGGTGTGGGGGGCAGAAATTGAGAAAGTGGGTGCTGGTTAATTAAGGTCTAGGCAACACTGGCTCATTAGTAAACAATTATACTTGCTTGTCGTACTGTAATTTTTCTGTGTTGTTAAGCACCTCATATATCTATGATAATTTATATATGTTAGAATCCTGGCTCTTAGGATAATGTATTTAAGAACCAAAGTTGGTACTGGTGTTAAAGTCAATTAAACAGAAAAAAAAAATCACTTTAATTGGTTGACTTATACACAGTTAAAAATAAGAAAGTATATGTTAAAATATTGTTTTATTGAGGAGGTTTCTAGGACTTCCTGGCAAGGTAGGGCAGTTTTATATATATATATATATACATTTTTTTTTAAGTTTAATTTTTTTTATTTTTTATTTTTTTATTTTTTCTGGTACTGGGAATTGAACTCATGACCTTGCACTTGCCAGGCAGGCGCCGGGCCGCTGAGCTAAACCCCAGCCCCATGGCGGTTTTATAAAAGCGATGCATACATTACTCCATTGGCATAGTGCCCCAAGCACTATCTACATGCAAATGGCTTTTGACAAGTTGCATCAGTCAAAATTTGGGAAAATTCTTTCCATTATGTTTATATATACTAGGTAGTGAAAAGAATATATAGTAATTTATTTTGTTCCTTCAGAAATATTAAAAGAATAATCGGAATATTTAGCAGATGCCTTGGAACTAGGTTTTTATTCCCAGAAAATATTTTTGGAAATACTAGAATATCTGGCAGTAGGAGGCCAAAGCAGGAAGATTCCAAGTTCAAGTCAACCTGGGCAACTAGCAACTTCGTGAGACCCTATGTAAAAAAAAAAACCCCAAAAAACCCCAAAAAAACAATAGAAAAAGGGCTGAGGGTATAGCTCAGTGTGAAGACCCCGAGTTCAGTCCCTGGTACTGAAAAATAAAAAATCTGGTAACAAATTTTTGGCCATTACAGACTTTATTTTATGCTTTTAACATTTTGTAAGTGATTTAGTTATTTCACATCTGAAAAACACATTTGTTCCGTCTGCACAAAATAGTGACAGCACAGACTGCAGCAGAGTAGCAAGTTTCCCTTCCTCCTCTCACCAGCCCCATTCCTCAGGTACAGCTACTGTTAATAACTTGAAATCACCTGATTTTTAAAATCAAGCATAATTTTAAACTTAGAATTTAAGAACGTGGCAAGTCCTTTTCATCCCAGATGTTTGGAGTCAGATATGTGCTCAAATTCTTCACCATCATGGAGCAGCGATATGAATTTGGAAAGTCCCTTACATTTCTGAGTTTTAGCCTGCTTGACAGCAAGTCTTGAGCAAATGCTACTTGCCTTCTGCGATTCAGTCAGACCTACTTTCTCTCTCTCTCTCTCTCTCTCTCTCTCTCTCTAATAAAGAGATGTCGAAGGAGATCTGGCATAGGCATACACGCTAGAAAAATGGCAGTTTGTGTGTTCCTGACACGGCGCACATGTACCAGGAGAACTTCCCCACTCTCCCTGAGTCCCTGCCTTCGGGTTGTAAAAGGTCAGCCTGTAACAGATGCGCCGGGAATCTGCCTGGAATTTAGATGGCCCCTGTTGGGTTTCACTTTGCACTTATTAATAATTTAGCACTGGGATAAAAATAAAAACAAAAGCTCTCCTCTTACAGTGTGAGGACACGGTCATGTGCGCCGTCACGCAGGTTGAGAGGAGGCTCGAAGCCCGGTGGGGTCCCGTCTGAGGAGGTTTCCCTGGGCTGGCGACTCCCTCCTGCAGAAACCGCTGCACAATTAGAGAGAATTAACGTAATTGCTCCCCAGGAGGAAATTGCATTTTTTTTGCTTTTCAAAGGCTGTTTGTCTGAGCTTTAATTATCTAATCAAACGCAGAAGCTTTCTGCGAGCCGCCATAGTTAACTTCTGAGTGCTGCAGCTCTTCAGGGCCGGGGAAGTGCTGCGGTAGAACCAGCTCAGTTACATAATCCGCCGTTGGGTTGCAGTCAGATTTTGTTGTGATACTGGTTGCTGCAAAGGGTCTTCAAGGCTGGGGTTGATTGTAAATGCTTTTGTAATTCTTTGAACTGCAGCTCGAGTCCTGGTTCTCTGTAGAACCTGTGCCTTGGGACCAGAGTGCTTTTGTTTTTGTATTTGTGTTTTTGTTCTGTAGTACTAGGGATTGAACCCGAACCTTCACACTGAGCGCCATCCTCATTCCTTTTCAGTTTTAGTTTTTATTTTGAGACAGGCTGTTGTGAAGTCGCTGTTCCTCAGGCTGGGCTTGAACTTGCGATTCTCCTGCCTCGGCCTCCCAGAGCGTTGGAATGCTAGGTGTGCTGATCACAGCGATGCCTTCTGATTACTGCATTCACAGTCCATTTGCAGTGCGGTTTTGTGTCATACTCAGTTCACTTTGGTGTGTGCTTCATCAGACCTTCATTTGCCAGGTGAATGTGGGGCCCTGTTCCTAAAGCGTGACGTACTTTTTATCCGCTCATTTTACTTCCTTAGAGAGCTCAACATAGGAGTACTCGCTCGTCCTGTAGTTGCTAATAAATAAATACGTGTGCTGTATCGCTAGTGGAGCGCAGCGGCTCACAGCTCCGAGCGGCTTTGTGCGGAGAGAGGAAACCCTACTTTTGAGACACACGGGCTTGCCATGCTGTGCCTGAGGCGCTGAGGGCTGGGGTGCGGGGACTTACTGAGGAGACGGTGCCTTTGGTTCTAGGCGGAGAGGGTTTTAGGAATTGAGTTAAATTCAGACTCTGGATGGAAAGGGTCAGTGCCCTCTGCTCAGAATTAAAATATAAATTGTACTGGGGAGAAGATCAGACTCTCCCATGGTTTGTGCTGCGCTTCAGTCTGGCACCGTTGGGGCTCCTTCCCGCTCCTGCCTGCCCTCTTCCCCTCCCAGCTGCTGACCTGCGCCCTGTCCCCCTCCCGAGCTCTGTCTCCCTCCAGGACCCTTGGCGGGAGTGGCAGTGCTCTGGCCTGCGCCCCTTTTACCCGTCTCAGTGTGCTTTTTTTTTTTTGTTTTTGGTTTTTCTCCGGTACCGGGAACCGAACTCACGACCTTGCACTTGCCAGGCAGGCGCTTTTGCCGCTGAGCTAAATCCCCAGCCCCTCAGTGTGCTTTTAGAGAGGGGTGCAGAGCGGCTGGCTGAGAGCTGAGTGGGCCTCCCGCAGGTGTCCTGCGCGCCGTGATGTCTGTCGGAGCGCTCAGACCTTCTGCCAGGGTCGAGGAGGCCTGCGTTGGTCCTGGGTCACCACAAAATGCACTGACGGAGGAGGTCTGGCTGTCCCTGGCCTTGTGTCTGGGCAGTGTGCCTTGGAGCAGCCCTCGCTGGCTGCTTCGGGGATCTGCCTTCTGCCTCTGAGCCTTCACCCGTCTGCAAGGGTAGTGATTAGTTTCAAGCTGAAATGGAAATTTGCTAAGCTGGCTGCTGTCCAAACAACATTAGGCTAAGGCAGGAGGATGCAGTTTGAGCCCTGCCTGGGAAACCTAGCAATGTCCTGAGACCGTGTCTTCAAATAAGAACTGAGAAAGGACTGGGGATGTAGGTCGGGGCGGAGGCCCTGGGTTCCACCCAGCACCGGGCTGCAACAACAACCGTTATCTCCACGGCAGTTGTCTCTCTGAGTGGAAGAAACAAAGTGCGGGTTTGATGAGTTGTGAAATCAGTTGCGTGTCATCCTTTGGTGACTTTCTAAATGTTCCTGTTTGTCTGTCTTAGGTAATCTATTTAAAGAAGACGCCCGAAGAGGCCTACAGAGCGCTGCTGTCGGGCGCGGCGCCCCCCTACCTCCCGTTCAGGTATACCTGCTCGCGAGACCTGCGCTGACCTTGGCTGCAGTCGAGTTGCTGTGCTTTCCGTTGTCTTCAGACAGTGACGATGCTGTTACGTCGTATGGGATGAAATGAGATGGTAGTTCTTTTCTCCCCCCCTCTAAACAAGCAAACAAACAAACAAAGAACAAAACACCCAAACCAAATCGAAACACAAGGAGAGACACCTCCCACAGCGTCGTCTCTGAAGAGCTGTGCTCACGTTTCGTGCTCTTGGCTGTGTGCTGATCTGTGGGTCCACATCTGTGCACTTGTGTCGCTTGTGTTTCTTGGCACAGCTCCCGACAGCGACGGCGCGGCTGCGGGGCTCCCTGCGCGGTCTGCCCGTCCCGCTGCACACTCGCGTGCCCGGCCCCGGGCGCTCGGTTAGGGGGTGTTGTGGCGAACGATGAACACACAATCCTTTAAGACCCAAGAGGGTCTTGTCGCTATTTCTGAGCCCACAGGCGAGACCAAGAGGGACCCAGCAGGTGTTCAGGTGGGGAGACCGGGATGGCGGAGGGCGGCACCCAAGTCCTAGTCTCGCCAGGGAGAGCAAAGCCAAGCCCCTGCCCAGCAGTCATGTAAGAACAGATAAAAAATGTCAGCTTACGTGTAGGAGAGTTGTAAGGAAAATTAACGTTTTCTAACTCTCCGTTTCTAGTGCCTCCTATAAATGTGAAAGCTCTTTGTGAAGTAGAATCTGTTTTGCCAGAAAAGGTGATGATGTAATCACCGTACCTCAGTTGTACGCCAGGTGGTGGAGCGTACGCTTCAGAGACACTGGGTTGGAAGCCTCACTGCCCTGTTGACTCTCTTTAGGAAGCATAAGTAACTTGGGCAAATGACTTACCTTCTCTGAGCCTCCGTGTCCTTATCTGTAAAATGGCTACAGGGTGTTTCTAGGATTACATGAGGTAGTGCAGCTGTCCTGTGCCCTGTGTCGTACCGGATTTTTGTGTTTCTCATTGTTACTATGAATGAGAAGTAAGTATTATCCACGATGATTATAAATAGGATGACTAGGAGATCTTCAATGATCGCGTATTTTACTAGAGGCAGGCAGGTCTGTCGGCGCAAATGAACTGCGCTCACATGAGCACTGTACACAGCTCGGGAGTGGAGGAGCGCATTAGGCACGCGTGTGTCCTACGCAAAGTCCTGGGGTGTTTGCTGTGTCCGAGGCGATTTGAGAAACCCTCTGTACTTTTTCTGTAGACACTGAGGACTCAGTTTGTTTTTTAAATTAGAAGTATTTGCAGGCTTTTTTTTCTGGCCGTGTTTCTGTGCAGTGGTGGGATTTGAACTCAGAGTCTTTACACGGAGCTGCATTCCTGGCCCTTGTTTATATTTAGTATTTCAGGACAAGGTCTCAGCATGTCACTAAGTAGACACGTTGTTTCTTAGTATTTTAATTGTAATTTTCTAAAAAATTCACTTGCTCTCAAATTATTTTATGTTTTTCCAATTTTTATTCTTTGCTAGTACATGTTTGCAGTACATAATTACATTTCTTGTGGGGAGTTGGTACACGTACATAACAAAAGCAAATTATTTTATAAGTAAGAAACAGAAGATACACTGGAGTGTGTTGCTGTATTGTGGTTAGACGTAGAGATATGTTAGCAATCTATTAGAAGGTCCTCACATGCGAAAAGAATGTTTAGTATAAGTCCGAGGCGCCTGTCCCTTTATGTAGGCACCAGTTTGCTACTATGAGTCTGATCTTGTGTAACGCAAGTTCTATCTTTCGGATAACTCAGAACCCCAGGACTTGGGTTTGCATTAAGCCGTCTCTGTAAATACAAACTCCTCATAAACTGTGTACCAAGAACGGGGAATTTGTATTTTAGTGAAGAATTTAGATGGGAAACTACTCCTGGTTTTTGGGGATTGGACTAAAGAAACGACGTTTCTCCCCGTCTGAGACGTGTGTTGTTTCTTGTCAGCATCCAGGCTCCCTGGGCTAAAGGGACGTCATCAGGGAGCGCCCTCATCCTCGTTTTCGTCAGTCATTGCCTTGGCCTTCGTTGTTATCTGGGTTTCAATCATCCGCCAGGTTTTTCACTCTGTCAAATCACTCTTGTTGTCATTGTTGAGCCTTTTCAACTGTTAATTAAACTTACCTAAAAACAGACTTCTGGTTAGATATCATTGCGTTACTGCTTCAAATCCTTTAAGAAGGGAGACTGTTTTCAAGCCTTGTTGACGATATGGTTGGTATTTTCAGATGCACTCGTCACTCAAGTGCGTGTGTTCCCGTATGTGCTGTTATCTTTTCGTGTTTTTCTAATAAAGGAATTTTATGACTCCTCTGACTTTAGATAATGCTGCTCTTCAAGACTTATTCATTTAGCAAACAATCATCTAAGCAGTCAGTTCTATAAAACCTTTCCTCTTCTGGGGAAGCTTGGCAAACCCTCTTCCTGTAATTCCTTGTTACACTTTATGTATTATATATATATAGCCTTAAAGCAAACGTCTTATATTGTAATTGTTTGTTTGCAGCCCTGACTGTCCTCTGGAGAGTGGAAATTGAGTTCATTTCCCTGTGGTATCACAAGGGAATACGTACATTAATTTATTGCTTTTTTTCTTTGTCAGTCATTGTAATGGCCCTGTGGACCTAAAAATGGTTAGGACACCATGATCTCTACTGCAGAGAAGCTCAGTGTACAGTTTGTGTAAATGCGCGGGTGAATGAGACAGTTGCGGTGCTTTATTAGAGTTAGAGACAGATGTGACGGGAATACTGAGGCGGAGGTGTGTGGGAACTGGGGTAGGGAGTGTTAGGAGGAGGCCCTGCGGCTGCTTTCCTTGTGAGGATGAAAGCTGGAACATGACGGCCCAGGTTTTGATTCTGGGTGCTTTCACTTTTACTTTCATATGGCATCAGATTTTTTTTTAAGTGGTATGTTAAATGGGATCTAAATAATGTGATATGTATAGTGTAGGTACTTTATTACAACCAAAAAAACCCCCTGATTTTTAAATTTGGAATTATATTTAAATTAATTAGTTTTCTGTTGACCTAGTTATTTATTTATTTATTTTTTTGTTTTACCTTTTTTTTTTTTTTTGGTTTTTCTCCGGTACCGGGAACCGAACTCACGACCTTGCGCTTGCCAGGCAGGTGCTTTTTGCCGCTGAGCTAAATCCCCAGCCCCCTGTTGACCTAGTTAAACATTCACCAAACATGAGACAAATTAAAAAAGATTTATATAACTTTACTGTCTGTTCTTGATTAAGTTGAGTGTAGTTGACACTAGTGGTAGTTTCTGGGTTGGTGTGACCCTGGGGAAATGTGCTATTACTGTGTGTGAATCAGTCAGTCCTGGGGGTGTCCCACTGAAGTGTAAGGTATCTGTCAAAATTGTACTTTTCACTTGTACTAAGAATAGCCAACGTGTTTATCAGGAGTGAGTCTCCCTGGAAACTCGAGGAAGAGGGCATTTTCCATCTGCTTTAATTCTTGGCAGTGGTCTCGGCAGTGGTCTTTAAGAGAACAAGGGGTCTTTCAGTTCTGGGGGCAGCATCAGCCGGGCTGAATTGGCAGGGGATCTTTTGAGGTTCTGTCCCTTTCACTGTATCAGCCAAATGCAGTGTATCCTATCGGCGAGACATTCTAGAAAGTCATTTTAACTGCTGCTTATCGAAAGCCCTGCAAGACCACCAGCCCTTAATGGAATCTCCAGTTTGCTCCTGTGTTGGTCAGGGCAGCGGTTTTCATATCCGCATTCCTGAGTACTCATAAAAGTGTTTGCAAAAGTTGAAAGTGTCAGAAAACACTGATAACCAGTTAGTCTAAGTTGTATAACTTTTCTTTGAGGTCTGTTTTATGCTGCTTAACTCATTTTACAATACTTCTTTATCTACTGGTTCCTATGGAGCAGCTCGGTAAGCTGTTTGGTATATGCATGATGATGCCTAGATCTGCCAAGACCCGGTTTTTCTATGACTTATAAAATGAAAGGGGGATAAAATTTTTCAGGCAGTAAAGAGTATCCTGGGACCTAGTTTTGAAGGGACAGCCAGAAAACACGGCCTGTAAAAGTACGAATAGGTAAGTGAGGTGGAGGCAGGGTGTGGTGCTGATGTCCAGCGGAATGAAGCTGGATGTCCTGTCTCTAGTTGTTGGGCTTTTTGTTTCTGTTTTTTAGTTTGAAGAATAGTATACAACTTATAGGTCAGTGTTAATCACTGGAGTTCCATTCCCAGAAATTCTGATGCGATTGGCCTGAAATGAAGACTGGGTATTGGATTGTTTTTATTTTTGTCTTTTTGAGACAGGGTTTCGCTATGCAGTCCAGGCTGGCCTTACATTCACTTTGTAGCCTAGGCTGTCCTCAAATTCACAGCGTCCTCCTGCCTCAGCCTCCTGAGTGCTGGAGTTACAGGCATGTGCCACTACACCCAATCCGGGTATTGGATTTTTAAGAACTACCTGCATGATTGCAATATGTGAATACATGGTAAAGGTCCAGAGCAGGTCTATAGGTGTACTGTGGCACAAATTAAAAATACTTTAAAAGCTCAGTGGTTAAATAAGTTTAGGACTCTGTACCTTGAAGTTTTATAAAGCACATTCGCAGTTTAAAATTCAGATTGATTCTGAGAAATGAAGTAACCTAACTCTGTCCAACCTAGAACTTGTACAGCGCTGATTCCTTTACTCCCACCCTGCAATTTCTAACACAGACTCTTGTGAAACAGTCTGTCATGTTTCCACACTTGTGCAGAACAGAGACCTCATGAGAGCAGAATAGCATGTTGTCGTGTGAGGAACTGTGTTTGCTGTTTCCAGAGAGTCTTGGAAGTAGGTGACTTTCCACACAGAGGCATTTTATTTACTGTGAACAAGAACATCCAGTGCATCTCTCAGCAGATGTGAGGTCAGCCCGTCATCTGTAACTGAGGAGCCACAAGCCTCCCACTGACAATCCTTTAATAACGTTTATTATTAAAGTGGCCTCATACTGTTTGTGTAA